CCTCACCGCCTCTGTGGAACATCTGCCGCTTGGGGGGTTTCTAAAGCTCCTTGGCTACGCTGGACCTCCTTAAAGACATGCATCATTGTCTCCGGCAGCCCTCGCCGCCCTCGCCCCCCTCCCTACTGGCCCCCAGACCCCAGCAGAACAATGTTAATGCTGCCTGAGGTCAGTCCAGCTGTGATGACATGGGCTTTTTTTCTGAAAATGATTAATCTTGTCCAGTAAAATTCTGGAAACAGGGTTTCATTGAGGCCTCGTGTTTGCAGTTATCCTGCAGGCTGTCTCCTGAAGTCTCAGAAAATGCTCGAAATCACTGTAAAGCCCATTCATTCCTGTTTCCCCCAGTGTTCCTTTGTTTTGTTGTTTTGTTTTGATATTGAAAATTGTTCTGGACCTTCTGAAAAAACATCTGATGTAGACCTTTGATCAAAAACTTCGAGAACCTCGGGTCTGTAATCTATTTTTTCAGGATTGTTTGAGTACTGTGTACTTCTTCATTTACTCGCACTACGTTTACTTGTTCTGAATGGATGCTTCTCTATGTTCTATATGCTTGCTTCTGTATGCACAAGAATTTCCCTTTGGGATCAATAAAGTTCATCTCATCTAATCTGATCTTATCTGGAACTCCATCGGAGTCACTGGTGGGCTGCTGGTTTTGCTGGCATGCGGTCTTGCCGGTGGGGATGTCACAGGCCACCTGCGGGGACTTGCGCTGTTGCTTCCCCTGAGCTTGTGACATGTTTTTTTTGTCCCTGGCCGCTACAGTTGTTGCTATATGATAGATAAATGTGGGGCAGCATTTGCAAACTGCTCAGCGACTCGGCGGTGTGGTATGAACCGCAGTGCGGGCACATCTGAGTTTGGGCATTCCTGATAAGCGTTTTCATACACCTAGACCTGTGGGGGGGGGCTCAAAAGTGGCATCTGTATATGAAATAATGGAAGTGGTGTTGAGCCTGGGAGGGGCTGCTCGGCGTCACACGGGTGCATTGAGACACCTGTGAAACTTGAGTTCGGTGCAGACGGTGAGGTTTGGCCATGTGGGCAGGTACGCGGGCCCTGCTCGTGTGACAGCACGCAGTGCCTCTCTGCTGACCAAGCGGAACCGCGGCCATCTGGGTGGGGTGGGGGGGCGGGGCACATGGGTGGCCTGGTGAGGCTTACAGGGTTACGCACCTCTCTGCTGCAGCACCACGGCCTCCTGCTGTGTCCCCCCCCCCACATTCTAGAATTTTCCATCAGACAAACTCTCAAACTAGATTTTATTGGTTTTACTAGTTTTATTGTTCTTCTCTTTTTTTTATTTGTCTGGAACATTTCATATCCTACCAACAAGGTCTCTCATCTTTAAGCCATACAGACACCGACCCCAAAGACCAAAGATACCCCAAAGTTCCTCGTCTTATGTAGGGAGCTGAGATTGCAGCTGGTCTGACAGTCGGTTGTCATGGTCACAGGTCGCAGATTTTCAGTGCTTATTCCCAATTGCCGGGATCTTGAAATGGCCCAGGATCTGCTTCCGGTGGTTGTTTCCGAGTCATGGGGTCGATCCCGGCCTCCTGGTGCGTACGGCTCTGCCCCCTACCCCCCCCTTCCCCCGCCTCCCGTCAGGTTTCCGGCACCTGGCCGAGTTGGGAATTGAAGGCTACCCGGAAGGACATTAGATCTGGAGTGTCTTTTCAGATGCCATTTATTAATTAGTTGGCATTTTCCTCCTCAAAGATCATTCTAGGTCAGAGGTGGCCTATCTTATCCGCAAAGGGCCGGTGCATATGCGGGTTTTCGCTGCAACTCCCTAATTAGATTACTAATTAGAGGACTGGTTGGCTGAAGAGTCTTCACACCTGGGTTTGAACAGCTGGCCAACAGGTTATCCCAAAAACCTGCATACACACCGGCCCTTTGCGGATAAGATTGGCCACCCCGGTCTAGATTGACTGCTTACGTCATGTTTTGCCGCGGAGATGTTTCTCTATGATGCACAGATTGCTTCTCTTGTTTGCTGGCCACTTGTCCCTAACCTAATACCCCCCACCGTTCAGGTAGGGGGCCCGATTGACCTCCCCCCGACTCCCACCCCATCATTCACATGACAAGAAGGTACTTTAGAACTTGAAGGACGCTGTTTCTGTTAGACCCACAATGCATTGCGGCATAGGAGCTGAAACCTCTCTGTGGGCGGCCAGCCTCAGAGCCTAAAGGATGACCGAGGATGGGGCGGCCTGGGTCATGGAGAGGAGGGTTCAGGCAACTTGTTGTCGTCCCCCCAGCGCTGAGAAGGAGACTTTATGTGCAGCACTGTGCAAAAGCCGCAGGCAGCCGAAGAAAATGATTGAGGCTATTTATCCGGGTAGGAAGTGTATATTTGCTCAGAAAAAGCACACATTGAATTAAAAGTAGCACAATAAAAATATAAATGAGAATTTCTTCTCCCAAAAGTCAATGATATGTTGGATGATTAGATTGAACACGGCTTTGGTTCCCAAACCTCTCCTCAGGGTCTCCTTAGCCGTTCTGTGTATTTTTTTTCTATTTAGTTCAATAACTCGATGAATTTAGTTACATTCCTCAATGTGGTATTTATTAGCCAAATAAGGCGGGCTTTTGAAATGGCTGAGACAGACATCATATCATAGATGTACTTCAACACGTAGATGATTTAAATTTCTGTGACCGGCAAAGACATTTGCACGGTACATTACAGGAATCATCGTCGCTCTGCTTCTTTGGCATGGCTGAAAAAGTGGGGGCAGGATCGTCCCTCGAGTCCCAATCTGTTGTTTTGTGTCTGTCCAGGTTGCTGGTTCAGATTCTGTGTTCAGCAGTTTGGGCGACGCCCTGACCTCCCTGCCGCCCAGGGACCGGCTGACCCTCTGCTCTCTCAGCTGTATGTCACCTTGGATAAATGTGTTTGCTAAATAAATAAATCGTAATTGTAAATTGTATTCCGTGGCTGTGTGCTGGCAGTCTTACTTAGCGTGATTCTCCCTGAGCGTTTGCATGTTACTTGACCTCTCTGACTCACTCCGTGTTTGCTCGCGGTTCAGGGGGAACAGATGCTTCTGTCCAGAGGAGTGTCGCGGGCTCATGGCGCACGTCTGAGACCTGCAGCGGTGGTGTGTGTGTGTGTGTGTGTGTGTGTGTGTGTGTGTGTGTGTGTGTGCGTGGCTTACAGCTCCCCCCCCAGGCAGAATAATTGATGAGTCTGAGCATGTGAATGAGCGAGCAGGTCGGGGGCCCTCTGGTGTGGCAGAGCAGGGCCGTCGCTCCCGGCAGATGGCCGCGGATTTGGCGGGGAGCCTCGGGAGGGACGCGGCTGCACGGCACGTGGGGGGCTAAGGGGAGGCAGAGTGAGCGTGTGCCGAGCTGATCTCATGCCCCAGGGATCAATCTTGTCTCTTGACATAATTGTGTGAGTGTTCTCCGTAACATTGCGCGTCGGGGGTGCTATCGACCGCGTACACCCGAGTTGAATCGGTCAGCGATTCCGTCCTGCAGACGCCCGAAAGGTGCTGTGTGATGAAGATTTTCCATAATATTCAGGAAGACCTGACAAATGTGATGGGGGGGGGGGCTGAAAATGATGGGACAGCCATCTACTAATACGGGGAACTTTACTGAGGGCTCAGTGAGTTTTGTCTTGACATCGCAGCACAGTGTGTAGAGGTTTAGACCCCATGATGCTCTGGGGTCATTATTTTATTGTTATTAAAATCCTTAGTCTGCCTTCTGATGGTTGGTTTGTAAGGAAACGCATGTTCGTCACCGGCTCTAAAAAGCGTGAATTTGTGTGATGAGGGAAAATTGGGGCGATCAGCCAAACACGAATTTGTGACTAAAAAGAAGAAAGAATTGTGTTTTCATTACTTGGTTTTTAGAACAAGTGTGCCCCCCCCCCCCCCACCCATGCTGTACGCCTAAGAGTTTAAAATGAAGGATTCAGTATCGGTCTAAAGGATCATTCAGGCGAAAGAGAACTGAGACGTTATCGCTGCTGGACAGTCTTAAGCAGCCCGCTGCAGATGGACTCCGTGGAGAAGTTTACCCCCCCCACCTGCCCGCCCCCACCCCCCCATGGGGAATGTGTGGGCAGATGCCGGTTTGATGATTTAATTCGGATGCGGCCTGATCCGGCTGCACTCAGTGGGGGTTGATGCGATTTGCAAACAACTGGGGGCCCAAAGTGTGTGTGTTGGGGGGGGGGTTGGCTTTAGTCAAGCACCTCCAGTCACCACCCCCCCCCACCTCATTCTTCTTACTTAACCCCCAGGGGGCCTGAGAGGGCAAAAGACGGAGTGGTTTGGGCACAGTCAGGTGAGTGACGTGTGCCTGCACGTGGGGGCTGTGGGGGGGGCGGCTCACACAATCGCTCCCGTCACCATGCCTCCCCCCCCCCCAACTCACACAAAGACCAGCAGGACCTCCTCTCCATCTCTCACTTTCACTGAAATGCCGACCCCCCGCCTTTTTAAAGAATTACCTTTATTTCCGGCTCGGTACTGGACTGGCCAAAGATCAGCTCCTCTGTGCTGCAGTTTGAACAGACGTTTACTTGCTGTCACTTGTTTCCTGTTGAAGTCCAGGGCTCTCATTCTGCACAGATCAGCCCTTGCAGATTTAATTCTGCTATAATTACGTGAAAATACACGGCCACAGGATGATGAAGGACGACCGTGCTTTCTGATTGGCCAGTTGTTGGTCACATTTTCCTGGCCGCAGCGTCCTTCAAGTTCTAAAGTACCTTCTTGTCGTGTGAATGATGGGGTGGGAGTCGGGGGGAGGTCAGTCGGGCCCCCTACCTGAACGGTGGGGGGTATTAGGTTAGGGACAAGTGGGCAGCAATCACGGAGGTCATGGAGGTGGGGTATCGCACGCCACCAGCCCATCATACAGCCCAGAAGTTGCCAGATTGTGCAGCTGCAGGGATGATTTGCCCTGCGCACACACCTCTCCCTCCCCCTAATTATTTCTCTCCATCTTCTCCTCCTCCTCAGGCTTCTACACTGACCACCCCCTGGAGACTGACCAGGCTGACGGGATAGGTGAGTCCGCTTCGACGTTTGTGCCAAGTGCTCCACAGCAAGCTGCTCTCTCAAGCATCATTCTTGGTCAGTCTCCCAGCTGCTCATGCAGGAATGATGGATGAGCTCAGTATCAAATTGTTTTTGAGCTTTAAAATGTGGTTTGAGTCCCCATGACTGTTTCACTTCTATTGGTTACTGTGTCAATGTGACTGAAGACTTTCATCTGGCAATTACATTACTGTACTTATAATTACATTACTGTACTTATAATTACATTACTGTACGACATGATAACCTCGTACTACATCATATACATATTATATGTGTAGTATGTTTATTAAACATGCTGCTGTATTCCATAAGCACAACCAATTTCTCTACCTTTTCTATATCTTTTACATTCTTATATTTATTATTTGTGATACTTCACATTCTTGTTTGTTTGTCTGTTTATCTTTTTTCCTTTAAAAAATCACACTCAAAGCTTCGCTGGGGAATCACACTCATTGAGTTTCTTTATAACTTGTTGCAGTGATAATAATAGCATTCTATCCCTTTCGTTTTTATAGTAACAGTGCTGACCCAGAGTCATAACAAGCACACAGTGATTAGCGCGTGGCCATATTCTCCCTGGTTGACTATTGCCCCCTAGTGGTAGGGATAGTGAAAAACCTTCAGACTCTTTACAGTAGGTGAGTGTGTGATCCTTCACTGCCCTCCCTTTCATGCCAATTGAGTAAAGTTTTTGAATGTACTAAAACTAACCCTTTTACATAAACCTGACCCTTACGTGTTTACTAAATGGAAATAAACTAGTTGGCGTAACGGTGTCACATGGGAGTTAGCTATGGTAATCCGTGTTGTTTGCTCCTGAAATGTGCCTCACAGCAGTGGCTGGCTCCTCGCCATCCCTCCCAGACCGCCAGCTGTCCCCCAGTGCTGCAGTGCAGACCCACCCTGCACTGGAGAATGCTCACTGGAAAGATCCCCGCTCCATTTCCTCTTGGTTGAAAGCATATTGACACTCGCTGTGAATGCAAAGGCGCATTATTGCCATCCTTTAAGGGACACAATCATCTGGGCAAAAGGAGTTAGGACTCAAATGGTCGGCCAGAGTTGTTTATTTGTGCCCAAGAACTTGTACTTAAAATGACTGCGGTTTTCTGCCGTTGCCACTTAGAGGGCAGCAGAGAGCATGTGTGGGGTCACTGCAGGTCTGGAGGCCCCACAGGTGTCCATCTAGCCTAACCGCAAATCTGAAGGGCACATGACTGGCCAAAAGGAAATTTAGATAAAGGGTAAATTACATAAACTAAGTAGGTGTGTGTGTGTGGGAGTGGGGGGGGGGGGGTTTAGAAATAAACAAAAGGCAAAAAACAAAGGCTTCATCAAAGATAAGGCTCTATATAAAGGCCATTCTGAATTCATTGTGCAAATGGAATTATATACAACGAGTCTGGTAGGCAGTGTGCAAATGGGAGCATATATGGACATGAAAATAGTTAACAATGAGGTGGGTATTTGCCATAAATATACCTAGTGCAGATTATGTAGTTGCCATCGGTAAGCAGGAGCAAGCGCTCCGCTCGTCAGCGCTGAGTGGCGTTCGTGCGCTCCGTTATCACACTTCGCTGGTCCGTTGGGCACGCCAGGCAGACCGGACGCCGGTGACGCGCCGTCCGAATTAAAAGGGAGGGTCTTTTTCTGCTTTTATCGCAAATACGAACTATTTTGTATCGCCAATGTTTATTGTAGACTGCAAAAATCGACTTTGCCAACAATTATTGCACTACAGTTTCAGTTTCGTATTTATTTTTTCTTCCTTCAGAATGCATTCTGCTTTTGGTAGCATGTACCATAGCTGGCCAAACACAATAAATAATGTTTTTATCGAGCTAATATCCGCAGTTCCAGTTTTTGAAGTGAGTGGTGATTTCATGAGTATCCACCAGATGGAGACAAAAACCTGGAAATCTGAGTAGCGCCGCGTCAGAATACCAGCGTAATGACATATATATTTACAGCCTGTCACGGTTTTAATGATCTCTCAGGATAAATAGTAATCAATTATTATGTGAAATTATTTCATTCTATTAAAATTATTACTTCTCTATCTTTGCTGAGCAATGTTTGAGTGTATGTGCATTTATTTTTGTATATGTACGTGCAAGTAGTGCAGTTTGTCCGCACTTGGAATGTGCTGTCACGATTTTTCAGACTGTTCCCTATGACACACCTGCACCTGCAATTTGGACACTTTTGTCCTATTTGTAGCTCTGACCACCTCCCATTGCTTGCATGTCAAAATGTAAATTGTTAGACCTCATGTACACCTGACGCAGTTAATTAGCGTTGAATCCAGAGGTGGAAAGTTCTGGTCCTGAAAGCAGAAATACAGACCAAGATTTTGTTTCAGCTAAACCAATTGAGTATAAAGACTCAGTCACAGAGTACTTGGTTGGTTGAAACAAAATCTTGGTCTGGATTTGTACTTTCTGGGCCTGAACTTCTGATTCAGAACTTCTGACGCCTCTGATTGAACCTAATGTGATTCACCTTTGTAACTGCGTGTAGAATTGTGGTTTAGTTACTTCATAGTCATTTTCTTTGTGGTGTTTCTGTTATGTCTACCCCCTGTATGTAGTGTGCGTGTGTGTGAGTGTGTGTGCGTGCGTGTGTGTGTGCATGCGCGCGCGTGCACGTGTTTGTGTGTCTGTCAGAGTATATGTGTGTTTGTGTATATTAGGATTGTGCTCCCATGCCTGGAAGGTTGTGGGTTTGAATCCAATATCCTTCTGAGTGCTCAAAGTACTGCTATTAACACCAGCTGCTCTGGAGGCCAGCTGACCTTCACTCCGACTCTCAGCTGTAGACACACGTGTATCTGTGTGTCTCATGGCAAACTGGGTGGGATGCGTGACGATGTCTCCCTCAGGATGATAAGTGCTGTTATGTTGTGGGGGACGCCGCCTTTGATCTTTCGGCTCATTGTAGGGACACGCCCCCCACCCCCTACCCCGGCCGTCATTGCGGTGGGACGGGGTGCGTCCTCCCCAGCTGTCGTCTTGTCGGCTCGCTGTCAGGAAGCACTCCCATCTCTTGCACCACTTGCCCTTTCTGCTTCACCCTGGACTTGAATTGCATGGAGCCACAGAATTTCTGAAAAGAGTCTTGGCTTCAGACACCAGAAAACCCCTTCAAGTGTGCTGGGGTATTTTATTTTAGGACGTCATCAAACACTGACATTCCATGTCATTCAGTCCAATTTCATTTATAATTTCATTTTCATTTTAATCAGCCGCGGAAGCCCCCCCTCACCCTTATATGGCCTGTCATTCCAAATATCCACATCCTGTGCCGTTCTTTAAGCAGCTGTTTTTGGCTGGATGTTCAGGTTCAGGTGAAGTTCATTTCTCTAGCGCTCCCTCCTCTTGACCCTCCTAATGCTCCCCTGCCCCCCCCCCCTGCAAGCACCAGGTGGCACCGGACAGGGGTTGGAGGTCAGATGCAGTTCACAAGCTCACGACCCTGTCACGACCCCTCCGGTGACTCCGGGCTGACCGCCTAACCCACGGCCGGCCTGCCTTTCTGGCGTGCTCTGGGGGGCCGTAAAAGCTCTGGGGCATCGCTGTTGACTGAGAAGGCCGATCAAGGACCTGTTAAACCTTTAGTCTTAAAAAGGCCACCATTGTTGTCCAGTGCTGGAAGTATAATTGATTTATGTCCCCAATCCCAATTAGGTTGTAAACTAGAGCTATACCCAATGTGCCTCCCCCCCCCCAGAGTATTTTTCCCTCTCTTTCTAGAGTGCCAGTCCTTCTTCGTGTGCTATTGCTGGGAGTGGAGCGTACCAGCTGGATGGATATGCGGGGGTGTTTAGGGGGAGGGATGCTGGGTGGAGGGACCATACCTTGTAAACCATGATTATATGGGTTGGGAAATCTACGACCTCATCGGGTGAACTGAGAGCAGGTCAAAGGGCGAATAACTGAGGCAGCAATGTCCGTTTACAACCCCCCCACCCCCCTTTAAAAAGCTAAAGGACATTTCTCTCACACATCCTCACACCTACAGTTCGTTTTAAATTCCCGAACGTGCAAAAACATTAATTCTCTGAGCCTTCTTGTCACGGGCCGATAAATGAATCGTCCTCCACAACAATGAAGGATTCGTCCTATTGTCCGTGGGGATTCTCTCTCATTTATTTTGTATAGGTTCAACAAAACTAGTTTTAAAACTTTTTTAATGGAATGTTGGCTAATTAAAGTGTGCTGCCGCTGTGAGACCCTCTCACTGTGTGTATTTCTGCGCTTTGCTGTTAAACTCGTTGAGGAACATTTAATGCTACCGGGCTTGTTTCAGCCCAAGAACATCCCAGTGGACATTGGGGCGGTTTGTCTGCCCCCCCCCCCCCACCTGCGCGAAAGAAGGGAATTCCGATCACTGTGCCGCGGGATGCGTGAGGGAGGTGTGGCCAGGCCGGATGTGAGCAGGGCGATGGGTCCCGTGGCGATCGGGGCAAATGGTCAGTGCTTCACTGAAAGTGACATTCTGCAGGTTCCCCAAATGACTCGCCTCCCTCTGCTGGGCCTTTGCAGCCAGTGGGCCTTTGTAGTTTGTCCTGACAAGTTTAAAGAACCCGTCACACCTCCCCCTTGCTGCTCCGTCGTGCTCCGTCTGTGCGTGTGAAGCCCCATAGTCTGTGATGAGTTTAAACTCTGCATGTATCGCTGTGGTTTTGAATAAATGTGCATGTAAGAAAATTGAGAACCGATATGCTTTTCTGTCCAAAGTGCAGGGACCTCAATTAGCCAGACGACGATCCCATACAGACTCTAAGTGGGTTCCCGCTGCGGCATTGTGGGGATTAACTTTTTATTTTGAATTCCGCAAAGCCTCCTCACCTGCTCACAGTGGCAGCTGGTCCTGTAAAAAGCTGGGGTTCGAGAGTAAAAGCAGTTCAGATTCAGAGAGCTGCCCCTTGTCCACAAAGCCCTGCAGGAGATTGGCTAATAAGG